CCTAAGCACCGGTCGCTGTGATTGGTGGTGTCCAATCGAACCGTGGTCAATCGGGATCACCCCAGTCCTGAGTAGTCCGCGAGATGATAACACTAATAGCGTTTTCGGCTTGATCGGGTTTGCACCAACCTGGGTTGGATTAATCTTTCCTATTGGTTGACGTCACCCGCTCTACCAATAGGAGAGCACAAAACGCCATTAATCCAACCCAGGTTGGTGCAAACCTGACCGGGCCGAAAACGCTATAAAATAATCTTGATTTGTTACCACTTGAAATCGTCATAATTCGTCATTTATTAGGGCTACGTTCAAAAACTTCCTTTCAGAGAAAGATTTTATTCTATATACTATAGCTATAGTATACGTTACGTGTACTATATATTTCGAGCAAAATTTTCCTCGGAGAAGAAGTTTTGGAACGTAGTCTAGGTAAACATGAAGGAAACACAAGTATGGCAGACCTCCCGCGGTTTCAAAATTGATAGCGTGCGATTAAAGTTGTAAAAATGTTTTGCTTTTTTTCCTAATATGTTACCTGATGGCTATCAATCATGAAACTTTATCCCTAGGATGGAAAGTGAAAAGTGAAAATTTTAACCATTGAAGTTAATGGAGAAACTTTTCACTTTTTACTTTTCATCCTAGGAAAAAAGTTTCATGATTATACCCTACTGGCATATGTTTCTAGTGATAGTTTACGTCAAAAAAACCAATCGGAAGGTAGGTGCCATTTCGTTTTTGTGAATCGAAGGGGCCGTCAAACCAAGCTAAAGTGATAAATCTTTAGTGGAAAAAAAAAAGATTGCCGGATGTTTTTTTTGTACATTACCTATTTTCACTACGAAACATACAAAAATACACATGCCATAATATCGTTTGAGTGGGCTTAAGGAGTCGTTATGCTCGGCCTAACATGTCGAATTTTAAACTAAAACGTCATTTGTCGGTCAAATTTTAGTCGGCAACATATCATGACGTTTTAGTTTAAAGACAGTGACCTCTGTTAGGGCCTGCGCACAATAGAGGAACAAGAATTAGATATTAATAGCGTTTTCGGCCC